GAGTCACACAGAAGAGCTCCAGAAGGTTTCAGACTGAGAACTCTGGACTCAGATCATCTGCTGCACACAGTTCTGATCATTTATTATCAATAATAATTTGCTACGTTAAATTATTAATAAGTATCATAAGGAGTCCTTAACTTTAGGATGTAGTTGGGCAATTAAATATTCATGTATGTGTAAATTTATTGCCATAACTGAAGGTGACGGAGATATGGGAACCATGTGAAGTAGACTGGAGATATGGTGAGATTGTGGAACAGGTTCTTTAATTTCAGATCATGGATTAACACATTTTTATTGGGATTTGTCAAACAGGTATACCTGGGCCAGACAAATTGAAATGATTGAGGATTTTCATAAACTTTTTAGAAAATGCAGATTAAACAGTTTTGTTTTGAAGTTTATAAGCATAAATGGGCAGTTGATATTCTACGTAAACCAAAATTAGGATTCTTATATTCTAATAATGGACGTTTGTGGTCTTGAGCTAGATGCAATACTGAACTTATCTAAACAACACATTGTGTGCACAATTTAGATCTGATACTTTGCCTTTGGACACTGGATGTTTTCATTCAGTCCCAGAGGCAGATCATATACAGGATGTTCGTGATTTAGGTGAAACTGAAAATTAAATTAACTTTGTTTTGTTGCCCTTTGTACATGATTTTGAGAAATGAATTATTTAGTAAAGTTTATCCATATTTTAATTGATGAAAGTGCCGTATTTATTTTAGTCCTCCTATTTTGTGTTTCAGTTAGCTCAGTTTATTTTAAAGGCCTGGCACCTCAGGAAGATTACACTTTTTGTTGAAAGAATATTTACGTCTGTCCACTTGCATTTGTCTTGTAAGCCTGTGTGGGCAGGACACCTGCTGCGGTGCATGACACATGAAAATAAAAACTACTACTTCTCTACTGGATGTGAGAATTGACTGCAAACAACCCTAGAGTCAAGTAAGTTCAGTCACTTACTATAAAATTAAGTAAATTATTAAATAAAAGAATTATGTCTGTGTCAAATTCAGAAGTTAATTTTATGCAATGAATGAAAATACACATTACACAGTGTAATACAGTTAGTATACCATTAAAATGCTTAAAACACAAAAATGTAAAAACATTGTTCCACTGTGGTCTATAAACATCCAGTGAAATCTGTAAAACACAAGAACACCCGAAATTTGCATAAAACTCATTTAAGACAAATGTGCCCGTCAGGACAAAAATTATTCAGCTGAAAATTTCCAGTTTGTCGTGCTCAATTACTTTCCACTAAGGTTTGTTACCTCCCCTCTGAAATGTTTCATTGTTCAAAAATTAAAAAAAGATTCTTTCCACATATTTTCTGCAGCTTCCCCTCTAAACTCTTCAATTAGGAGATCCATTCATTTTAAATTATTTTTGTCTTCAGTAAAAGTAGACCCTTTTGTAAAAATCATTAAATGGGCAATAAATTTTGACTTTTCTGCAAGCATTTTATTTTTAAATCAGTGGTTATTTACATCAAGCTCTTAGAAGATTGACTGAACTCAGCACTTTACAAGTCATTAGTTTAATTCTAATTATGTATCATGAAGAA